AGGAAGACTGGCCCTGGGCTAACATCTGTGCCCATCTTCCTCCACTTTATATGGGACGCCGCCACAGCATGGCCTGACAAGCGGTGCGTCGGTGCGTGCCGAGGATCTCAACCCTGGGCCGCCAGCAGTGGAGCGCGTGCACTTAACCGCTACGCCATGGGGCCAGCCCCGGTTCTTTTTCTAACTTTTATTTTTTTTTGCTATACAATAAACATTTATTAGACCTTTTTCTAACTTCTTGAGTTGGGTGATGATCTCATTAATATTTTGTCTTTTTTCCCTATATATTTATTTAATGCTGTAACTTTTCCTCTGAAAGTACTATTTTGATTGTATCCCACAAATTTTATTATGGTGTATTCATTGTTACTTCTGTTTTCTCAGTTTCCATTAATATTTATTCTTTGACCTATGTTTTTAAATTTTCAAAGGAACTGGGAAATTTGAAAGTGCGTTGTTATCTTCTAGTTTTATTGGTCTTGACAAAAGCACTTCTGTGATATTTATTGAAACTTGCTCTGTCATGATATATAGTAAATTTTTATAAATGCTTGAAAGTAATATAAGTTCTCTTAATTGTTCCATGCAAGGATATAAAATCATCAGATCAAACCTGTCTATTTTGTATTCAGAGCTATATCTTTAAATTTCTTTAACTGCTTGATCAGCAGAGAAAAGTGTGTTAAAATCTCTATTGTGTCTGTTTACCTGTATCAGACAGGGTCCCATCAGGATGCAAAAACTACACAGTAACTTGAAAAGAGAAAGCTTAGTGTATAGAATTATTAACAGAAGGTTGGAGTAACTGGGAATTGGTTAATAAGAGTTGAAGATAACTCTAAAGATCATAGGAATAACAGCTGTAGGGAGCAGCCACCACCTCTAGGGTTGAGATAGATCATCCTAAGAAGAGCTGTCTTCCCCTTCATTGGAAAGAGCATGGCTGGGGCTAACTGAATGGTGAAGTTGTTAAGTGCTTTGCTGGTGACAGTGCTTTGAATCTGGCAGAGGAGGTGCATAGGGAGCTCCTGGATGGTGCTGGCTGTCAAATGCTGTGGGATCCAAGAGTTGGAGAAGCTGCCTTCTCCATGAGCCTAGCAGGAGCAAGCTGTGTCCTTTGTAATGGAAACCTCATTTATAGGAGGCAAGCATGTAGAAAAATTGTGCCCTGCAGGAGCCTACTGCTGGAGACACTGTCTGCTGCAGGAACTGAATGCTGGAGGAAGCATGCTCTGTAGGAGCCTGGCTAGCCAGGCACACTGAAGCTAGGAAGAGAAACGTCCTTCCTTGGCAGTGTCCCTCCAGCAGTCTCTGATGACAAAGCTTAACATTGTGCCGATTAGCAAAGCAAAAGTATTTACAAGGCCCACTTCCATTATCACAGAAGGGTGGATTTGGAATTGAGAGGCAAAGTTGCCACAGTTCCTTTAACTTTATATGTGTACATAGCGAGAAACCACATATGTAACTTCTTTTGATGACTTCTTTATACTATTATATTTATTATTCTCAGAAATAATTTTGAAGAACTTTTAATGCAACATATGATGTGACTAAGAAAAGAGCAGTAACTATCTTAAATTTGTAAGTAATTTTTAAAAAATACCTTCGGTGGTGGGAGGCTTAGAGATTAAGGTGTGGAGACAATGGTCCTGCAAACAATTGGAGAAAAATTTAAGACAGATGAGGGACAAAAGATCCAGGATTTGTGAGGTCTTTTTTATTTATTTCCCAGTTTTAACTTACTAGGCCAAGTAGAATCTTTTTTTTGTTTTCTTTTTAAGTAATACCTGCCAGTAGTAAAAACTAAAGCTGTGTGAAGCAATATGCAATGAAAACTTTGGTCTATTTGATCTCTGTTTAACCAAATCATTAGATTAGCTGATTTCCATTCGGTAAAAAACCCGTTGACTGATGCTTCCCACTCCACATGACAGTTTATAGCTAGTAGTAGATTACTGTGATGAAGCCTATGAGTTCCTCCTCCACCAGTTGAGTTTTGCTTAACCAAGAGTCAGTTGTGTTATTTGCCAAATATGATTATGCTGTTTGTACTTTTTGTTATTATTGTAGTCTATATTATAGCAGAGTTAATTAATCATATCAGCTAATTGGAAAAAATGTTGGCATGGGGAATGTGGGGAATAAAGAAAAAAGATATATACCTTAATTTTATTTAAAGGAATAACATAAATTTTTTGTGTGTGTGTGAGGAAGATCGACCCTGAGCTATCATCTGCCAATCCTCCTCTTTTTGCTGAGGAAGACTAGCCCTGGGCTAACATCCATGCCCATCCCGCCACAGCATGGCTTGACAAGTGGTGCGTCGGTGCGCGCCCGGGATCCGAACCGGCGAACCCCAGGCCGCCACAGCAGAGCGCATGCATTTAACCGCTTGCGTCACTGGGCCGGCCCCGGGAATAACATAAATTTTATCTCTTGTGGTAGAACCGTGGACCTTTTCTTTGAATGTGAATCCAGTGATTAGAGTTCTGACTTTTTTCTTGCATAAATCATACCCATAAGACATTAGTTATGATTTTCAGCACTTTTTTCATTAAAGTGGAGTAAGAACTTAGATACTTGTGAATCAGTCTGCGTACAGACTAGATTTTTCTCTTCCAGTATTTTGGATTATCTACTCCTCAGTTGATTTGACAAGCAGTTGTGTATGTGTCTTGCTACTTACCTTTGAGTCTTTAATTTTATTTATTTATTTATTTTTCCCCAAAGCCCCAGTAGATAGTTGTATGTCATAGCTGAACATCCTTCTAGTTGCTGTATGTGGGACGCAGCCTCAGCATGGCCAGAGAAGCGGTGCGTCCCTGCGTGTCCGGAATCCGAACCCCGGGCCACCAGCAGCGGAGTGCGCGCACTTAACCGCTAAGCCACGGGGCCGGCCCTACCTTTGAGTCTTTGCAAAACATTCAACCTGATTTTCACTGGAAAATTACCCTTTGGTAATGTAATCTTTCATCATACTATTATTCAGAAAAATAAGGAAACAAACATAATTGGATTTGGTAATAAATGTACCTGGCTCTTGGTAAGTGTATGTTTCAATTGGTGGGAGCAGAAGTGTGCAGACAGTTACCCTTAATGACCCTCAGTAGCCACAATGGCCATAGTTCATTGACCATAGGCAACATTGATCAAGTTTTACTGGCAGAATGGAGAATGTCAGATAAGCCAGAGTTTTTTTAACTATTTTGGATTCTTATGTTGCTTCCAGTCTTGCCACTATAAACAGCACTGCAGTGAATATTCTTGTACGTACATTTTTGTAACCATGTGCTTGTATATCTGTAGAATAAATGACTAGATATGAAATTGTTGGGTCAAAGAGTATTTAAAACTTGATAGCTATTGCCAAATTGTCTCCATATGGCTTATACCACTATACATTTAAGTGATATATGAGAGTACTTCTTTTCCCACACCTTTATCAACCTAGTGTAGTATCAAACTCTTTGCTGTTTGCCTGTCTTACTATCTTATTTGTGAAAACATGTGTGTCTGGAGTCCCCAAGACCACCCCCAGGTTTGGTTATTTGCTAAGAGGACTCACAGAAGTCACCATATAGTTGTACTTATTTAGTGTGATAGTTGGCTTATTTTAGTATAAAAGTTAATTATTTTGGTCTATTTTATAAAATAAGCATCATTTACTTTGTGACATGGCTTAACCCTATCAGCAAGTTTAAGATTTTGCTTTTGTAGTTTTAGCTTTCTGAAAATGTTAGGCATTTTTTTTGAAATCATAATAAAGAGTGAACTTATTTACTATATCCAAATTTGAAAGTTGCCCTTTAACTTAAAGTGAGGTTTATTCTCTGAATTGTGAGATTGGTTTTAATAGTTGAATCTCTTTATATTTAATACTTTAGATGGCGACTATCAAAAGGAAATAGGATCATGGCAGCAGATGATGACAATGGTGATGGAACAAGTTTATTTGATGTCTTTACTGGTAACTCATTTTAATTGTCTTTCTAAATTTATTTATTTAATTATAGAATTATTTACTTATTCTCATTGAAAACACTGTCATTATCAACTTTTTCTCCCCACGCGTAAATGAATTACTACAGTAAAGTACCTGGCAAATAGGAAGTGCTTAGTAAATGTGAGCCTAGTAAATGTGAGCCTCTTAAATGTAGTGAAATTTGCCAATATAAATGATAATGATTTTTATTATCATATCCAAAAAAATATAAGGTAAGTTTTTGTTACTCTTGAAGTTAATACTTCCCGTAAATGCAGTGGTGCTTGTTTATTGTTGTTCAGGGAACAATGGACAGTCACAATGGATGATTAGTTTGAGAGAGATAACTGAGACCTGGTAGTAAAATAAACTCATAAAGTAGATATATTTTTAATAATATGCAGAATGTAAACTTCCATATCTTTTTTTTTTTTTTTGTGAGGAAGATCAGCCCCGTGCTAACTAACATCTGCCAATTCTCTTCTTTTTTTGTTGAGGAAGACTACTTCCTCGGATGGGCTAACATCTGTGCCCATCTTCCTCCACTTTATATGGGATGCCGCCACAGCATGGCTTGCCAAGCGGTGCGTAGGTGCACGCCCGGGATCCAAACTGGCGAACCCCGGGCCGCCATAGTGGAGCGCACACACTTAACTGCTTGCGCCACCGGGCCGGCCCCCTAAACTTCCATATCTTGACATAACATTTATCTGGTTCTTTTTTCTTAATTATAATTATGCTATGACAACCTCATTAAATTTTTTGAGATTATAGATGTATACTTATTAACTAGAATTATGATTGCTATAGAATGAAAAGGGCAGTTGTAAAACATGCCTAGTAGAACTCCATTTTTGCTTAAAATAAGTGTTTTTTAAAATTAATATTCATAGATATGGAAGAATTCAAGCGAAATATGGCCATCATAACCACTCTGGGTAGTGTTATTTGTTTTTTGGTGTTACTTAATTATTTTTTGCTGATGTGGTTTCAAATTGTTATGCTGCTATGTAATTCTCTTATGATATTTTTTCTTTGAAAAATTCTACACTGGTAGAAAAATTGAAAGTATAATATAACAAACACCTTTACTTTTCACCTAGATTCACAGTTAACTTTTATCACATCTGCAACTCATTATTTTGAAGGATGAAACTACGTGATTGATCTCATTTGCCAGAAACAGCTGTTTTCATTTCCACATGTTAGTCTCTCTCAAGTTCCTGTCCACATGCATATGTTTTGATAGTCACAGCCACAGTGTACATTTTTCTTTGCATTTTACTTTTTACCACTTAACATGATTTCACAAAAATTTTTATTCCTACCTATAACATTTTCATAATAGTCTTTTATTATACTTGTTTGGAAATAATTTCAAACTTACAGAAAAGTTGTAAGAATAAGAACATACAAAGAACCCTTTACCTAGTTTCTTCCAAATTTACCTCTTGTTAATATTTTATGCCAGTGGCTTTATCGTTGTACACATACTCTCTTTTTAAATACACACACATGCACACAGTTTTTTCCTGATTTGAGAGTAAGTTGCATACATTATGATCTTTTACCCCTAAATACTTCAGTATGTATTTCATCAGAAAAAGTTGATTTTCTTACGTAACAACAGCATAATTACCAATTTCAGTAAATTTAACACTGATACAATACTTTTATTTATAAATCTGCCATTTTTATTCCAATTTTATCTGTTAACCCAATAATGTCCTTTATTATTGTGATTGGATTTAGAGCTGTCATTTTAATATTTCATTTGTCTCATCAGATTTTTTCTTTCTGATTTTCTTGCCTTCTTTCAAATATTATTTGAATATATTTTAGAATTTCATTCTAATTTATATGTTAGCTTTTTGGCTATACTTCTTTACATTATTTTTTAGTGGTTGCTCAAGGGATTGCAATATACATCTTTAACAATGTTATTGCAGTCTACTTACTAGTATCATACCTTTTCACATAAGATGTAGAATCTCATACACATAGTTACATTTCACCTCCATCCCTTTAGGTTAAAGATGTCATAAATACCACCATACAAATGCTATAATTTTTGCTTTAAGCCGTTCTATATATATTAAAGAAATTAAGAGGAAAAATTAGTTTTTTATATTTACTCAATTATTTACCATTGCTAGTTCTTCTAGTATCCGTGTGGTATCATTTTCCTCCCCATTCTCTCTCTTTTCTTCTACGACTCCAGATATATAATACGTGAGAACTTTTGATATTATCCTATAGGTTACCAAGAGTGTTCTTTTTTTTTTTCCCTCTGTTCTTCAGATTGGGTTATTTTTATTGCTCTGTCTTCAAGTTCACTGGCTCTTCTGTCAAGCACACAGTGAATTTTTTTACATTAGATATTATAGTTTTCAGTCTTAGGATTTTTATTTGTTCTTGTGTTTCTGTTTCTCTGCCAAGATTTCTTACGTAGTAATTTTGGATTGCATTCCGGACATTGTAAATGTCATGTTATAGAGACGTTGGATTCTGTTATATTTCTCTGAAGAGTATTGTTGTTTTTAATTTTAGCAGGTATTTAACTTGGCTGAACTTAAGCTTCTCTCTTTCCTGTGGTGGATAGCAGCTGCAATCTGTGTTCAGATTTTTTAGCTTTAGCTAGACTTTTTGGAGTTGAACCTTTAGTTGTATAGTTTGGGATCACTCAGGGATTTGGGGGCACAATTTGGGGAATCTCCTCTGTGGCTCTCTGGATTTCCTCTCTTACTTTCTAGGTGCTGTTATCACCCCCAAAGTTTTTTCTCTGGTTCTTCAAGCTGTTAGAACTGGAGGTTTCCATCTGAGTTTTCACTGACGAGTGTGACTGTGACTAGGGCTTATCTTTCCACAAAAAATTGTAATAAAAGGGGGATAGGGAACTGAGGCAGTGCTGTTTTCTTCTTTCAGGTGTTGTCTCCTCTCCAGTTTTTGCCTGCTTTGGGTTGCTTTCTAGTTTTTCAGATAGCTTTTTTTTTAATTGAAGTGTAATTTATATATAACATATTAGTTTCAGGTATACATCATAATGATTTGATAGTTGTATATATTGTGAAATGATCACCACAATAGAGCATTTGACTGCAAATAGCTTTTAATATTTTGTTTAGAGTTTATAGTTGTTAGCTGCAGGAGGATTGGTCTGATAGAAACTACTCTGCTATTCCTGGAATTCGACCCTTCTCACTAGTATGTATTTGAAGGTGAGTTTTTAAGTCTAAATCTGAGGTAATCGAGTCATAAATCTGTGTGCTAAGATCTTCCCGTTTATAAGGATGTATAAAAACTTCTAAACAATTCTCTTTTTTGGCTCAAGGCTAATAAAGTCTCTTTCTCTTCCTGATCCTTCAGCGTAGGAATGGAAAAACTTCATAAGTGCATAAAGTCAGTTTTAACTAGTCTTTGATTTTCTTGCAGCCTCTCCTCTTAAAAATAATGATGAAGGTTCTTTGGACATATATGCTGGATTGGACAGTGCTGTTTCTGGTATGTAAATTCTCTAATAAAATAGTTTCATTTTGTTTGGTCAGTCCATTGGAAGTGTTTATTTTGTTGTTACCAAATCTTGGCGTAACTCATAGCTACTGAACAATCTGCCCATTCTTTGAAATGATTACACTCAGGTGATTATTTTCTTGCTCAAAGCTTGATCAGTAAAACAGATTAGCACTCAGGTTTGTTATTCATCTGGATTTCAGATTTAGTTGGACTTTGTGCAAAAATATTTTGTACCATTGAAATGCGACTGGGGGTGGTGTCTGTACATATATTACTACTCATACTGTCGCAGGTTACATGATATTAGAACTTTTGAAAAGAGTAGTTACTATAAATATTTTCAAATGTATCTGTAAGAGTGTGATATGCAGAGTCTAATGACCTATCCAAATTAGAAACCTTTTTCAGAATCAAATCTCTCAAAGCTTTGAACAAATATGATCCTCACACCTCATTTGTTGACACAAGGATTTTAGGTAAATTGGTATTCCAACTGTCATCTGTGAAATCAGTATAGATTTGGATGAACTGCAGGCGATGGAGAAATGTATAGCCCTTTGAGTTGAAGTGGAATGTAACGTCAAAAAGCCTAACACATTTTTTTTCTTTTTTTCCAGCTTTATTGAGATATAATTGATATATAACATTGAGTAAGTTTAAGGTAGACAATGTGTTGATTTGATACACTTATATATTGCAAAATGATTATCACATTTATATATTGCAAAATGATTACCACTGTAGCATTAGAGAACACCTGTATCTCGTCACATAATTACCATCTCTTTTTTGTGGTGAGAACATTTAAGATCTACTCTCTTAGCAACTTTCAATTATATAATATAGTATTATTAACTATAATCACTGTGTTGTACATTAGATCGCCAGAACTTGTTCATCTTATAGCTGGAAGTTATTACTCTTTAACATCTCCTCTTTTCCCCCACCCTCATCCCCTGGTAACCACGATTTTAGTATTTGTTTCTATGCCTTTGGCTCTTAGATTCCACATGTAAGTGATATCGTACAGTATTTGTCTTTCTCTGTCTGACTTATTTCATTTAGCATAATGCCCTCAGGGTCCGTCCATGTTGTTGTAAATGGCAGGATGACCTTCCTTTTCGTGGCTGAATAATATTTCATTATATATGTATACCACATCATCTTTATCTGTTCATTTGGTGACAGACACTTAGGTTGTTTCCATATCTTGGCTGCAGTGAGCATGGGAGTGCAGATATCTCTTGGAGATTCTATTTTCTTTTTCTTTGGGTGTATACCCAGAAGTGGGATTGCTGGATCATATCCTAGTTCTGTTTTTAATTTTTTGAGGAACTTCTGTTCTGTTTCCATAGTAGGTGCACCAGTTTGCATTCCCACCAACAGTGCACAAGGGTTCCCTTTTCTCCACATCTTTGCCAACACTTGTTATTTTGTCTTTTTTATGACAACAATTCTAACTGGTGTGAGGTGATGTCTCATTGTGGTTTTGATTTGCATTTCCCTGATGATTAGTGATGTTGAGCACCTTTTCATGTACCTGTTGGCCATTTGTATGTCTTCTTTGGAAAATGTCTATTCAGTTCCTCTGACCATCTTTTAGTTGTGTTGTTTTTCTTTGGCTATTGAGTTTTATGATTTTCTTATATATTTTAGATATTAACTCCTCATCAGATATATAGTTTGCAAATATTTTCTCTTATTCTGCAGGTTGCCTTTTCATTTTGTTGATTTTTTTGGCTATATGTATAGAAGCTTTTTAATTTGATGTAGTCCCATTTGTTTGTTTTTGCTTTTGTTGTCAAATCCAGAAAATAATTGCCAAGACCGATGTCCAGGAACTTACCTCCTATGTTTTTTTTTCTAGGAATTTTATAGTTTTAGCTCTTATGTTCAAATCTTTAATCCATTTTGAGTTGATTTTTGTATGTGGTGTAAGATAGTGGTCCAGTTTCATTCTTTTGCATGTGGCTGTCCAGTTTTCCCACGACCATTTATTTAAGAGACTATCCTTTTCCCTGTTCTTGTCTCCTTTGTCATAAATTAATTGACCATATATGCGTGGGTTTATTTCTGGACTCTGTATTCTGTTCCATTGGTCTATGTGTCTATTTTTATGCCAATAACATACAGTTTTGATTACTATATCTTTGTATTTTAGTTTGCAATGAGGAAATTTGCTGCCTCCAGCTTTGATCTTCTTTCTTAAGATTGCTTTGGCTATTTACAGCCTTTGTGGTTCTATCATTTTTTTCTATTTCTGTGAAAAATGGTATTAGAATTTTGATAGGGACTGCATGGAATCTGGAAATACATATTTTAGTGTAAGTGTTTTTTGTTTGTTTGTTTTAGACGGTGCTTCCAAATCCTGTGTGCCATCCAGAAATTGTTTGGATTTGTATGAAGAAATTCTGACTGAAGAAGGAACTGCAAAGGAGGCAACGTATAATGATGTATGGGTTGCCAGAATTATTAAGGGCAGTTATTTTACTCTTTTGTAGTTCCTGAAGTGTAGGCATCAGCTTACTATTGAACAAACACTCTGTGTTTAGGAAGTAGCTCTAAGACTAAAAGAATATTTAACTCAGTTTCTGCCTTCAGATCTGCTTTTTAAAACAATGTTTTCTGAATGCTTGTCTAAATTTAGTTATAATTTCACTTGATTAAATTTAAGTGTCTGGATATATAAAACCTCAACAGGCAATCAGTGTGATATAACATTTTATCTTTTCATGATTTCTACTAAGTTATAAAATGTCCAAAACTTAAATCAGATAAATTTCTCTCTACTTTATTTGCGTTTTAAGGTTTGGAGATTGAATGTGAAACAAAATACATTATTATTAAAGTTGGCAGAGCCAACTTTAAAAACCAATAATCTTACTGAATACTTGTTAGTAGAAATAGACCTAATCAACCCCTCTTGGTGGATTGATTTGCAAAATTTTAAATATTTTGAAATGTCATTTGAGCTAAGAAAGTAATTTAGAATGATGCTTAAATTAATCTTTTTATATCTTACAGTTGCAAGTAGAATATGGGAAATGTCAGACGCAAATGAAAGAGCTAATGAAAAAGTTTAAGGAAATACAGACACAGGTAGGATTATACTGAATATTTTATTTTTGCCTTATTAAATTAAAATTTAATAAAAATTTTTTGTTAGAAATTAAAATTCTAAAGTGTTGGCAGTTTATAAGGAAACTTTTTTTTTTAGTATTAAATCAAATAGCAAATCTGGCAAAACGTGCATTATTTCCTGTGTCAGTGAAATTAATATAGGAAAACTGCTTGATTTGTTAAATGGCATTGACATAAAAGATCTGTTAGACTAGTTAACAGTTTAAAAATTCATAGAGATGATATCAGACAGTTTAAAAGAGGCTGGTTTGAAGAGCAAAGATTTAGAAGGGCTGTTGGGGGAAAATGGTTATGCCTTCATAATTTTTGCCAGAATGACTTTTTTTGTGATCATGCTGGAGAAATCAGGATTGTCATGTCTTGTTCTGATTTTTATTTTCTCGTAAAGTTGTTTCTCTTCCTTTTCCCTTTCCCCAAAAGAACCGGTTAATCCTAGTTTCATTCTTTGTTCATCTGAGAATTAGTACATTGTTGGAAGTTAAAGCTAAATTGTTAAATGCAATAAAATTTTTATCATTTTTATTTTCCATTTTTAAGATAATGACCCACGCAGAACTTGTTTCTTATTTATTGTTTTTTCATTTTGATCCTTGTTTTAAGTAGTTCACTTTAAATGACCTTTCTCTGGTGCCAGTTATCTTCTCTGAACCTCAGCTTCCCCATCTGTATAATAAGCATAACAGTACTTCTCATAAGACTTTTTTGAGAATTACGTAAGATAAAATATGTGATGCCTGGTATGTAGTTGGTATTTAATAATCACTAGCTATTATAAGTAATATAGTTTAGTAATCCTGTAGATATATAGTTTATTAAATATATTTTATGATGTTTAGAATTTCAGCTTAAAAAATGAAAACCAGTCTCTTAAGAAGAATATTTCTGCACTTATCAAAACTGCCAGAGTGGAAATAAACCGCAAAGATGAAGAAATAAATAATCTTCACCAAAGGTATAGTTGAGGGATGTGGATCTGTTTATAAATTACGTGGGTGTTGACATGTGGAATATTTTCAACTTTGAGTGGAAAGATAAGAAAATCATGCATTTTATTAAATATTTAAGGTTTTACTGTGACTAATATTCTAGTGGTATATTATGATAATGACATATGTACAATTATTAATGGAATATTGCCACATACCTCTCTGAATATATTCAGTTTTTTTTTTTTTTTTTTCTGAGGAAGACCGGCTCTGAGCTAACATCTATTGCCAATCCTCCTCCTTTTTTTTTCCCCAAAGCCCTAGTACACACTTGTATGTCATAGTTGCACGTCCTTCTAGTTGCTGTATGTGGGACGCGGCCTCAGCATGGCCGGACAAACGGTGCGTCGGTGCGCGCCTGGGATCTGAACCCGGGCCACCAGTAGCGGAGCACGTGCACTTAACCGCTAAGCCATGGGGCCAGCCCTCAGTTTTCTAATACACTAGAATCTTGCTCTGGTACTCTTTGCTCCTGAGGAGATAATGGTGTATATGTCATGGGTTCTTCTAGGCCCGCGCCAAATTACTAAAATATTGAGAGGGTATCTGTGCTCATATTCCCTGTTTATAGACAACCTTTAAATTATCTCTCAATTGTATATTCTTTTCTCTTTCAAGTGAATTTTTTACTTAATTTCTCTCTCTCCTTTTTTTTTTTTTGGGTCAGGACAATATTTTGCTCTAGAATTTCATCTCTCTCCTCACCTTCATAGTCAAATCTCCAAAATAGTCATCTAAACTTGTTGTCTCTATTTCCTATTTCTGCTCACTCTTGAACCCGTTTCCCTCTGACTTCTGCCTCCGTTGGTCCTCCAAAACAGCTGTCATTTTGGTTAACAGTGACTGCCAATAAATCCATCAGATAAATTTGACTTCTCATTTTAACTTTTCCTCACGTGCTGTTTGACATCGTTGACCCTCCTTTCTTGAAATAGTCTTTTCCTTTGGCTTTCGTGATTCTTAGTTGTCTTCTTAACTTGAGATTTATTCTTCTGTACTTGGCTAAGTTGGAATTCTTCAAAGCTCAAACCTGTGTCCTTTCCTTTCTTTATCAGTATTTTCTTATGAGGTAATATCACACATGCTGGGTCAGTTGCATTTATATGTAGATGGATACCTACATATAGGTAGATATGAAGACAACAGTACTTCACATCTATAGAAAATTTTCAAAATTACCTCACCCAAAATGGAATTTATGGTCAAACCTCTTCTATTGTTTCTCAGCTCAGTGAATTCCCCAAAATTTATTCACCTAGTGCAAGCTAGAGACCTAGGGGTAGAATGACCATTTAATTTAACTGCCCAAACCAGGACGCTTTTGAGAGTAGAAAGGAGTGCTATTAATAATTACACTGCAATTGCTTGGCAAACTGGGAAACATAGTCACCCTGCCTAGGAGTCGTCATTGACACTTACCTCTCAGTCATCTCTCAGATCCAAATTCATTACCATGTCCTGTTGTTTTTAATGTCTTTATAATCTCTCAAATCATTCATGTCTCTCCATTTCTACCGTCATTGCTGCCCATCAGCTCTCATCTGAACTGGTAGTAGTCTTTGTGCTGGTATCTCTGCATTCATTCTTGCTTTTTCCAGCCTCTGGTTTGTCTCTTCTCAATATTAAAGCCACAGGACACTTTCTAAAGCACAAGTCTGGACATTTCACTATCATAGAACCACCCCATCCCACCCCGTTTTTTGATTAAAACACATCAATGGCTTCTCATTGTTCTTAGGATAAAAGATCATAAATCTTAACGTAGCCCACAAGGCTCTTCATGATATGGTCCCCAGTTACTTTCCAGGCCTGCCTTCAGTGTTTACCTTTGCCCTAGGTGTCATAGCTCTGGTGTATCTCTGGCATTCTTTCGGTTCTCTGGATGTACCATGAGTTCTGCCTTTGCATGGACTGTTTCCACTGCCTGGAATGTTCCTCTCCTCCACTTGCTAAATGCCTGCTCATCCTCAGGTCTCAGCATAAACATTCTTTTCACAGAGGATATTTGTCTGTTCTCCCTGACTAGGCCAAATCTCTCTTTTGTAGCTTTATGTACACTTACAGTTTTTAAAATCATGGATGGGATTACTTGATTAGTATCTTTCTCTTCCACTAAACAGTAAGCTTCATGGGAGCAGGGACCGTGCATGTGTGTCCTCACCATTTTATAAAGCCCCTAGCATAGTGCCTGGTACATGGTAGATACTGAATAAATGACTGAAGAGTGTATGAGGACAATCCTGTGTGGACCAGATGGCATTATAAAGCACTTCTGAAAATGAAGATGGTTGTGTTTACTAACCTAAATCCCATCAGTGCAACTAGTATACAATTGGTTCCTGAAGTGTTGGGGAGATTTTGTATATATTTGAATCTTTTAGGGGAGGGGTATGACATTTGAATAGGGCGGAAAGAGAAACTGAGTGAATAAATGATGAGTTATGTCATTAGGTTGTTTGACGTGGTTATATATTATCTAATAAATATTCTATCAAATATTTGCACTTTTTAATTGTGAGCTGTAACTAGTATTCTGATGGTATGTGTTTATCATTTGGTTGAAACTTCATGTTTAAAAGAAAAAATGAAAATAATGTAAGGTGAAAATTTAAGAGTAAATTCTGAAAAATGTTTAGGGTGAAGGTTTATTTTAAAATAAAACTTTTGATAGTATTTTATTTAGTATGAAGTTAGACTAAATACACGTTATGAGCTCTGTGGGCTGGAACTATCTTTTAGGAGCTTATAGTTTGATAAGTTTGATGCACATTACACGTGCACATCCTTTGTTGAATGTGAATTCTTTGTTGGATAAATTTATTGCAAATATCTTCCCATTCTATGGCTTGTCTATCACTCTGTTTATTGTGTCTTGTGGGGAATAAATGTTCTTTTTTTTTTGTGAGGAAGATCGGACCTGAGCTAACATCTGCCAGTCTTCCTCTTTTTGCTGAGGAAGACTGGCCGTGGGCTAACATCCATGCCCATCTTCCTCCACTTTATATGGGATGCCACCACAGCATGGCTTGCTAGCGGTGCGTCGGTGCGTGCCGGGGATCCGAACTGGTGAACCTCGGGCCACCGCAGCGGAGCATGCGCACTTAACCGCTTGCGCCACCGGGCCGGCCCCAAGGAATAAATGTTCTTAATGTTAGTGAAGTTCAATTTGTGAGGTTTTTTCTTTTAGGGTTAGTACTTTTTGTGTTCACATTTCCTCAGTTGTCTCAAAGCTGTCTTATAATGTTTGTGTTTTTGAGTCAGAACCTGCATTAGTTTCCTAGGGCTGCCATAACAAAGTACTACAAATGGGGTGCCTTAAATAACAGAAATTTATTGTGTCACAGTTCTGGAGGCTAGAAGTCCAAGATCAAGGTGTCGGCAGGATTGATTCCTTCTGAGGGCTATATGATGGAAGGATCTGTTCCAGGCCACTCTCCTGGGCTTGTAGATGGTCACCTTCTTCCTCTGTCTCTTCATATCATCTTCTCTCTACGTGTATCTTTGTGTCCAAATTTCCCTTTTGGGGAAGGACAGTAGTGATAGTGGATTAGGGCCCACCTAGTGACCTCACTTTAACTTGATTACCTCTGTAAAGACCCTGTCTTCATATAAGGTCATATTTTGAGGTACTAGGGGTTAGGACTTCAACATATGAACTTTGAGGGGACACAGTTCAACCCATAACAAGATCCATATAAAGTCTATAGATTGCCTTAGGTTGTATGTCTCCTGTGTCCTCTTTTGTTTCATAAAAATCTCCCCTTATTCCTGAGTCTTAAGTTTTGGTGTTCTCTACACATTTAGTACTGATTAGGAATAGATTCATGAGAATTCAGGGAAGTTATGGCACTTCAGGAGATGGACTTTTATTATTACAAAAAGATAAAATGAGCTATTTACATTTTATTATTAGGAAAACTGCTAGTTTTCTGAAACACTAATAAAACCTTAAGACTTAGGCTTTCTTTTTTTTTTTAAACAGTAAATACATACCATTCTCCAGGAGAGACTTACAATTCTATATTCCTTTTTATTTTTGCACAGTATGTGCCACTTGAAGATGGCTGTTGATGCTTTGGTTTACTGTGGGGTTGTATGTGAAATAGAAAGCTAGGATAGGACCCTACATCGAGTTATATTTTGATTGTCTCTGTTGTCCAGCAAGGTTTCACTTTTCCTTCTGTTTCAGTTGGACTAGAGTGAGTGAGGGCAAGAAAATAATGTCACTTGTTCTAAAAGAAGTGAATTTTTGGTTAGTTTGGGAGTTGTACACCTATGGTGAAGGAAGTCTGAAAGACATTGGCAAATGCTGGGGTAGAACTGAGAGGTCCTCCAGACTTTGAGCAAAGCAAATGAAAGACAGTTCCTTGTTTTGAAAACTTGCCCATTTAGTTGGAAGCTGGTAAATTTTTATCACTCACACCTTTACGCAAAGTAAAATTAGTTTTGCCAGTTTGTGGGCCCCTGAATTTTAAAGTTTATCACATGTGATTAAAATTTCGATTACTAAAAAGCAATTAACTTTGTTTTTTTGTTGTTTATTTCTTGATAGGTTGTCTGAGTTTCCGCATTTTCGAAATAATCATAAGACTGCAAGGACATCAGATATAGTTAAAACAAAAGATCTTAAATCCAAATCTCCCCATTTGGATGATTGTTCAAAGACTGATCACAGAGTGAAAAGTGATGTTTCTAAAGATGTACATCATAGCACTTCACTGCCAAACCTCGAAAAAGAAGGAAAGTCACATTCTGAGAAAAAGAGCACTTTGCATTTGCCTACATCTGTTGAAAAACACTGCACCAATGGCATTTGGTCACGTTCCCATTATCAGGTTGGTGAGGGTAGCTCAAATGAGGATAACAGAAGAGGGAGAAAAGATGTTAGACATAGCCAATATAGCAGAGGAACTGAAAGAATACGAAAAGACTTAAAAATGAGCTGTGGTGATGGTGAACCGAGGAACATAGAGGCTAGTCAAAGGCTACAAGGACGTCCTGAGAAATATGGTAAAGGTGAACCAAAGGCTGAGAACAAAAATTCAAAGTTTAAAAGTAACACAGATTTGGATTATAAAAATGAACGCCTTAGCTCTTCTTGGGAGAAAGAGACCTCTAGAGAAAGGTCACACACTAGAGTAGAATCTCAAAGTGACAAAAAACTGGAAAGACAAAGTGAAAGATCACAAAATATAAATAGAAAAGAACTTAAATCACAAGACAAAGAAGAAAGAAAGGTTGATCAAAAACCTAAATCAATAGTAAAAGACCAGGATCATTGGAGAAGATCTGAACGTGCATCATTTCCTCATTCCAAGAATGAAATAACAAAATCTTCTCATAATTCAAGTAAATACCATCTGGAAGAGAGAAGAGGAAGGGAAGAGTGTAAAAGAGACAGGGGTGTAAGTAATCATAGTTTTCAAGAAGGAAGATGTCCATCCTCTCTTTCAACCAGTAGAACTCACAAACACATTGACTCCAAGGAAGTGGATGCTGTGCACCAATGGGAAAATACACCTTTAAAAGCAGAAAGGCATAGAACTGAAGATAAGAGGAAAAGAGAACGAGGAAGCAAAGAAGAAAATAGACATATGAGAAATGAAAAAAGAACACCTACAGAGCATTTGCAGAAGACTAACAAGGAAACTAAGAAAACCACTCCTGATTTAAAGAGACAGAATGAGCCAAAAAATGATAAAGGTGTAGTCTCTAATAATGATGTTTCTGAAGAAGCAGATAATAAAGAGCTTGCAGTTAAAGCTGAGAGTGGTCCGAATGAAACAAAAAACAAAGACTTAAAGTTGAGTTTTATGGAAAAATTGAACTTAACTCTTTCTCCTGCTAAGAAGCAGCCTGTTTCTCAGGGTAATCAGCATAAAATAACCAATACTCCCAAATCCAATGGCATATGTGACTTAGACTCCTTGGTGCAGGCTAAAACAGTGACATGTGTTCCCTCTGTCAATGAACATATCACAGAGGACACCAAATCAAAGTTATTGGAGCCAAAGGATGCTATTGCAGCAGAATCTGAACCCAGGACCAGTATTCCAGAGAGGAAAATGGAAGAAAATAGGTTGTTAGTTAAATCTGTTGAGAATACTATGCATTATGACATGCCCAGTTGTGGTACCGAGACTTCCGTCTTAGCACCTGTGGAAATGGGAAAAACAGAATCCTTGTTTCCATCATCAACAGAAATGGAACAAACCATTAATGGTGCAAGGGCAGCAGTTCCTGTGGTAATGGACATATTACAAACAAATGTTTCTCAAAACTGTGGCTTGGAATTGGATATCAAAAGAAACGATGGTTTAAATTCTTGTAGTATTTCTGAAGGTATGGAAGTAAAGGAGGCATTTTCAACCAAAGTGGCTGAATCCAATGAAAGCATTTTGCAGCCTTCAGTTGAAGAAGATGGCATTTTGCCAATAGTCCTTTCAGAAGATGGTAACCCAAAATTTGAGCCTTCTCTTGTAGATTCACCACTGGTTGAGAGTAAGTCTTGTCATTTGGAGCCTTGCTCACCTAAAGAGACTCTAGAATCTTCACTTCAGCAGACTGAGTTAATGGACCACAGAATGGAAATTGGTGAAACAAACTCAGTATATCATGATGATGATAACTCAGTTATGAGCATTGACCTTAATCACCTGAGACCTATTCCAGAAGCCATCAGTCCTCTGAATAGTCCAGTGAGACCTGTAGCAAAAGTCCTTAGAATGGAAAGCCCATCTCAAGTTCCGTTATATAATAATAGTCATAAAGGTAATAGTTTATATTATCTTCTATAACTTTTTGTGAAAATGTAAAAGATATAAGCAAGATGAATTAGTGCTTTTTCTTTCTTCATAACATATTATTCAGACCCCCGTTGTTAACTGAAATGTACATTGAGCCTTTAGTCTAAATTTAGATGATTCTTATTCATATAAAAAAAAGGAAGTAGTAGAACAGATTGTTCCAAATACTTTTTGCTTGCTTTCTGATGTATTTTTGTTGTTCAAAAGCCATCATCAAATGGCGTAGAATAGGTGATGCTGCTAACATGAAGTAAAGATACCTGAACAGTTGGTTGATGTTATCCAAATGACCAAACTCTACACTATCACTGCCATCAGATACCTTCTGAGCACATTTTAAAGCCAGTAAAGACTAGTGACATGAATAAGTATTAGGCATTAAAATTCTGCTAAAAAAAGTTATTAGAATAATGAATTGCCTCACTATATAGTTTTTTTTTTGTTGTATTTAGTATAGAAATGTCAAATGACTAAGACTCAATGGTCATGTGACTATAATATATTTTTCTCTTCCACAGATGTGTTTCCACCAGATTCAGCTCATTCTACCTCCAGCAGTCAGTCTGATCTCAATAAGGAAAATCAAAAGCCAGTTCGCAAATCTGAGAAATTTACAGAAGCAGACTCCCTTAAGAATTCATCTTTAGATGAATTAGAAGAAGGAGAAATTATAAGTGACAATGAAAAATCTAAAGCACAAAAAAGTTTTGAAAAAAATGCCAAACCTACAACTTCTACTGAGGTGCAGCACGTAAAAACTAGCCCAGGAAGTAGGAAAAGTACTGTGCGTTTGGATAAAGACAATAAGAAAACATCTTCTGTAAAAATCCATCAGACCAAAAGCAAATGGAATCAAAGACAAAGTGAATCTAGCAGATCTTCAAAAACAGAGAAGAAAGATAAGACAATGAGCACTTCGAGCCTGGAAAAAATAGTTCCAATCGTTGCTGCACCCTCTTCTGAACGAGAGGTTATGCACATGTTACGAATGATAAGAAAACATGTAAGGAAAAATTATATGAAGTTCAAGGTAAAATTTTCATTAATACAATTTCATAGAATTATTGATTCAGCAATTTTGAGTTTTACGTCACTAATTAAACACCTTGACTTATCCAGAATCTCTAAGTCAGTGACTACTTTGCAGAAGAATCTCTGTGATGTTATAGAATCTAAACTTAAGCAAGTTAAAAAGAATGGCATAGTGGATCGTTTATTTGAACAGCAACTACCAGATATGAAAAAAAAATTGTGGAAATTTGTAGATGAACAGCTTGATTATTTGTTTGCAAAGCTTAAGAAAATCTTAGTAAAGTTTTGTGATTCCATAAACTTTGGCAGCGACAGTGATGAAGGAAAACTTGAAAAGATAAGTAAAGAGAAAGCACAATATTTAAATTGTCAGAAGGGGAATGTGGACAACTCCAGCAAAGAAACACTGAAGGAGACATCCCCCAAATCAGAAGATTCTGTTTATTATAAGTCTTTAGTGGGATGTAAAAAATCTGAGGAAAAACATCAAGACCAAAATAGTTCCAGTATCAACACAGTAAAGTATGACATTAAAAAAAATTTTAACAGTTGCTTTGATAATATTAAGAATTCTCAATCCAAAGGGCACTCCTTAGAACCAAACTGCCTGAGCACCCCAAAGCCAGGAAAAATGGAAGGAAACACCGTGGAGGATGCACAGACGTCCCAGCGTGCTGCTCTGAAGCCAGAACGCAGTTTTGAGATTCTTACTGAACAGCAAGCTTCTAGCCTTACTTTTAATTTAGTCAGTGATGCACAGATGGGTGAAATATTTAAAAGTTTGTTGCAAGGTTCTGATCTTTTGGACAACAGTGTTAACTGTAGTGAAAAAAGTGAGTGGGAGTTCAAGACTCCAGAGAAACAGCTGCTAGAGAGTCTTAAGTGTGAATCTATACCAGCTTGTACAACAGAAGAGCTAGTTTCAGGGGTGGTTTCTCCGTGTCCTAAAATGATTAGTGATGATAATTGGTCATTATTATCATCTGAGAAAGCTCCGTCTCTGTCTTCAGGGCTTTCGTTGCCAGTTCATCCTGATGTGTTGGATGAAAGTTGTATGTTTGAAGTGTCCACAAACATTGCTTTAAGTAAAGATAATGTATGTAGTTCAGAAAAGAGCAAGCCCTGCATTTCTTCCATTCTTCTTGAAGATCTAGCAGTCTCTTTAACAGTACCATCACCTCTGAAGTCAGATGGTCATCTCAGTTTCTTAAAGCCAGAAGTTTTGTCTAGTTCAACTCCTGAAGAAGTTATTAGTGCCCATTTTAGTGAAGATGCTTTACTTGAGGAAGAGGATGCATCTGAACAAGATATTCATTTAGCTCTGGAGTCTGATAATTCAAGCAGTAAATCAAGTTGTTCGTCATGGACAAGCCGGTCTGTTGCTCCCGGCTTTCAGTACCACCCTAATCTACCCATGCATGCTGTCATAATGGAAAAGTCCAATGATCATTTCATTGTGAAAATACGGCGTGCAGCACCGTCTACCTCCCCTAGTCTTAAACAGAATATGGTGGCTGATGAATCATTGGCATCTTTGCCCAGAGTGGAAAAGGAAGCTGATGAAGCAGCAGAGAAAGAATATACTTCATGTCAGAATAGAGTTTTTAAATCTGTGGAGGAATTGAAGAAAACCTACAAAAATGTTGATAGCAGTAAATCAGCTCAAGAAGAACAGGACTGTATGATACAATCACAGGTTCCTGATATATATGAATTTCTTGAAGATGCTTCAGGTAAAGTGGGTCATAGTAATGAAGTGGCTGATGAATGTTTCAAGTTGCATCAAGAATGGGAACCAAAAGTGCCTGAAAGTGTTGAAGAATTGCCTCCAATGGAAGAAATTCCACGTTCTGTCGAGGATCATCTTCCGAACACGTATATAGACCTCACAAAAGATCCAGTCACTGAGACCAAAAACTTAGGGGAATTTATAGAAGTAACAGTTTTAAATATTGATCAGTTGGGATGTTCTGGAGGCAATCTGGATCAAAATACTCCAATATTAGACAATATGCAGCCTGATACTGTAGATGCTTTTATTGATTTGACACAAGATGTTTCAAGCGAGAGTAAAAATGAAGGTAACTGTCCTGCTTTACCTGTTGAAGGCTTGGGGTGTCAGGTGATATGTGTAGATGAAGATAATAGTAAGGAAGAAAAGGTGGAAGTGGCAAGCAGGCCTTTGGAAAGCATTGTTGAGGAAGCCTATATTGATTTGACCTCGGAATCTCCCAGTTCATGTGAAGTAAAAAAGGATGATGTAAAATCAGAGCCGGCATCAAATTCTGGTAGTTCAGAGTTGCCTGGGGCTTTGGATAATGCTCACAAAAAGAGAAAAAACTTTTCTGATCTAAATCATTCTTCTCAGAAAAAACAGAGAAAGGAAACAGACTTAACTAGTAGGGAAAAGACCAAAAAAATTACCCAAGATTCTGGGCAGAATGGTGAAGCTCACCGAAAGAAAGCCAACAAGAAAAAGGCCCCTACAGTGACTAAAGATCCCTCATTAAAGGCAAGCCCAGGGATTAAGGAGCCGTCAGCAGCAGCTGCTGCTGCTTCAACAGGCCTGTCTGCAAAGAATGTTATTAAAAAGAAGGGAGAGATTATAGTTTCATGGACAAGGTAAGAATCTTGTGAGACATTTAAATCACGAGGAAATTTTGAGAGGCCAGAAATCTGTTCTGTCATGTCATCAGTTTTTCCCATCCTGAAATAAGGAAAGTGATGATTTACTTTAACAGTGGCCAAAGTTGGTAGAAGAAACTTTCTAAGGTATAGTCCAGCTGTACTGTAGAACCATCTAGAGCAATGGCTCCTAGCCAAGGATGTTCATTAGCACCAATGACAGAGCTTTTCATTGTGTTTTAACTTCACCTTTTTCAATTAAAAAGAATTCTTTCATTTGTAAGGAACTGATGTAAGCACATTTTTGAAAGAAGGAATGACAGGTGGTGAAACCGGGCAAAAGGTGTGAGCATTTGTAATTTGAGTTTTCCCTTAAAAGTTTCAAAAAAGTTTCATAAGTAGCTTGTGCTTTTGACTTTTTGTGAACTTTTTTAACAAATGCAGATTTAAAGACCGCTTTTCAGATGTAAAGGTAACCACAGTTGAGAGCCATTGGATGAGAGGTTCATGATCTTCAGACTTGACTAGAGTGCATAATGAGGGAAGCTGAATTTTGTTGAAATTGATGATCAGTTTTGTTTAATACCACAGTCCTCTATGCCTTCATTTCAGGTGGCATAGATGCACAGATGGCAGATGGCAGAATAAAATCTAAGACTGTAATAACACATATTGGTTCAGACCATGTAGAAAAACCAGAGGTTTGGGAATTAGAAGATCTGGATTCCATTTTACTGTTGGTTCTTCTGCTTATTAAATCTGTGATCATGTTTGGGCCCTAATTTTTAACGTACTGTATACATTAAAAGTAGAACTTTAAAAATTTGTCATTAGAAAAATAAATTAATACGTTTGTTTTAGAAAATTTGAGAATACATATGAGTTCAAGGATTAAAATCATCCGTAATCGTATTTCCCAGAGATAACCATTGTCCATATTTTGGTATATACACTTTTTTTCCTATGGATTTTAATAAAAATGTCACCTATTAGGCAGTGGAATTTTTGTTACCATTCTGCTCTAATTTACAAAAGCTAAATAACATTTTTCCCCCTTCAGAAATGATGACCGGGAAATTTTATTGGAATGTCAGAAAAGAGGCCCATCATTGAAAACATTCTCTGATTTAGCTGCCAAGTTGAATAAAAATCCATATCAGGTAACTTCCCAATTTTTCTCTGTAGTTTCACAGATGTTACTACTTTAAATGCTTAGATTTAAAATTTTTTAAAATTATTTATTTATTTATTTATTTATTTATTTCCCCCAAAGTCCCAGTAGATAGTTGCATGTCCTTCTAGTTGCTGTATGTGGGACGGAGCCTCAGCATGGCCAGAGAAGCAGTGCGTTGGTGCGCGCCTGGGATCCGAACCCGGGCCGCCAGCAGCGGAGTGCGCTCACTTAACCACTAAGCCATGGGGCCAGCCCAGATTTAATTTTTAACATGTTTAAAATGTGTAGATATTATTAGCCAACTTCATTAAAATATGACTCCCATGTAGGACTGTTAAAAACTTGGTGATTGTGGAAGAAGTTTGGAACAGTCCTAATTTTCTTTTCTGTTGTCTTACTTATTTGATCTCAAGCAGTTTTGTAATGATGTTTGCTTGTTTAAGAAAGTTTAATGTTGAAAAGTTAAACTACCAATCACCTTTAGTATGAAGATATTTCATTTTTCTAAACATTACTTCATCTCATTATTGTGAGTAATTTTCTCTGACTTTAGATATTTTGTGAAAATATTCATCAAACATAAAAAAAATATTATTGAGATATTTATAATGAACCCTCATTTAAAATTTTTCAGGTCTCAGAAAGATTCCAGCAGCTAATGAAGCTCTTTGAAAAGTCAAAATGCAGGTAGTTAATGGTTACACTACAGGAGACTAGTAAAGTAAATGTTTGACACTGTAACTGTGCAGTTAATGGCCTGTTAGCCTTTGAAGATGTGAGTAGTGGGTGAGAGACATCCAGTTGAGTTCCTGCTTCGGTCACGGGTTGGAGGATGTTGCTCGTGCAGGCTTCTGAGGTCACCTCATCCACAGGAACATGCTCAGAGTGAAGCCTGCTGCAGTTCAGATCAGCATGGCATCTCTCCTCAACTTGCTGATTGCTGATGAGTCTAAGGTGGGGGGAAATTCATTTGATGATAAGTTTTTTATAGATGAAGAAAAATAAAACATTCTTGAATAGCAGTATGTTTCATAGGCGGTGAAGTCTGTGCATTCATTGTAATTTAATATTTTTCACATTTTTAATTAGGAGTGCTAAAATACTTTGAAATACAAAACATGTTCATAAATATGAAATCCATTATCATCTGAATAGATGACATGATTTACCATGTTAAATTATAATGTTCACAGACATGTTTCCTCAGTTTCTTTAAGCCCTTCTTAGACAGCTTTATTAACGCAGTAAGATTTATCAGCAGGTTTTTTCCTGTAAGATCCGAACCAATTGTTTAAATATTTTGGACTTTTACATAAGGAAAATTGTAAAGCTGTTTAACATATCACTATTTTTCAATTGATTTGTAGTCATAATTGTTTGAAGGCAAAACACCCAATTTTAAATTAAATTAAGTTCATTAAATCTGAATACAAACCATGTTTGGACAGAGATCTCAGTGTGAAGCGTTCTGAATATTTGAGTTATAAATCTGTTTCTAGATCCAATGTAAATTACTGTCTTTAGATAATCTGTTAATTTCAGTAGCCCCTCAAAGCAACTAGTTTGTTAATGAGATCTTCAGAAGATATTTAATAGTTTACTGCGAAGTTAAAATTCTATTTATGTAATTCAGAATGTAAGATTGAATGATGGGGAATTTGAAGAAAAAGCTTATTCTAAAGAACCTTTAAAAAATAGTTTAAGGCAAAAATGGCCTGATTATTTTTCAGATTCATTGTGCTTTAAAATTTTCACTGCCTTTAGGAAATTAAACTGAGTTTTTTGTTTTAACTGAATGTTATCTTAAAATATGACTTCCATTGTCTTGTGAAGATAATGTGCATTCATGAAGGAATTAACTTGTATCTGGAAGTGATGCTTATTTGAAATTCCCAAATTTCATTACAAATCTAAAATCTTTTAATAGATTTGGTATTTGAGATTTTGTTTGCTTGCATGATAGCACAAATAGTGGGTTATTTCCTTCCTAGCTTATTTCTTAACTGATTTTTTTTTCCTCCTACTATAGTCTCATTAAATTCTTGTCAAAATCAGAGTATAACAATAAAGTTACCAAACAGATTCTGTAAAAAGCTAGTTCTTTAACACCTTATTACTACAAATAACTACTTATTATCTAAGTAGAACTTGCCTTAAAAGAAAAAGACTTTATGAAGTGGTCATACCAGAAAAATAGAATCATAACTTTAGCATTTTCTTACATTGCAGATAAGTTGCTGAATTCCTTGGGATCTTAATTGATATTGCATACTACACAGAAGCTTGGAATTCCTCATGCTTTAAATGGGGAAGTAGAGGGCAGTTTTATGGCATATTTGATTACTAGATAATTACATTTGATACTACTTGTTGACTCTTCATTCTCAAGTCAGCGTGTTCAGCTTGTTCTAGTCATCAGTCTGCTTTGCTTACCTGTTATTGGTCAGGAATTTTATTTTTAAACAGGTTAGAACTTGTTATTAAGATAAAAGCAACAAGAATATAGTATTGAAACCTTAGTTTTGATATTTCAAAGAAATGACTTTCTTTTCTAGATTTTTAAAGATAGTTTTGTAGCATTTTAAATTTAATGATTAGTTTGTTTTCATCCATTTTTATTTGCTTTTCTAATTGCCTCCACTCATTTGGTAAATTGTAAAATAATATAAATAGTGTATCTGTAAATATGTATAATTGTAATGATGTAAAATACTTTGTGTATGTGTATGTGTGTTTGTGTATACAGACGTAAATGGCTTTGCCTAGCCAAGGATTTTTTTATCTGTATATAAAACTTTTTGTATAAAGTTTGCTTTCAATACCAGTAATGTATAAATAAAACCATGTAAAGTTCTGTTATATTTTGATTAGAATGTTTCTTTTAGTGTGTTCAGATAATAATAAAAAGGAAAAAAAAAGATAAATCTCCCAGGGGACATGGGGGTCTATTTTGAAGTGGTTCTTGGTTGGGAGTGTGGCTGGCTGAATGTCTGTGAGTAGATTCATTAGAGAAAACCAGTTGTCTTTGCCTGCTTTCTCACAGCAGGTACTAGTACAGCGAACCAGACCTCTGCTGCAGGTGTCCTCACAGATAAAATCAGGGCAGCACAAAAGCCCTCTCAGGTGAAGATATGGGGAAAACAGGTAAGGATTGACTAGCTTATGCATTATTTGTTCACCCCACCCCCTCCAGACTCATAGGACTGGTGGGTTACAGTCTATGCCCTGGACTCTAGGAAGTAAGTACCTTAGGAAATTGCCATTTCTCCTATGATGTCTGAAGGGGAAGCCCTGATCTGAAGGATTGCTTGATAGATAACAAACTGAAATAATTAACTGTGGTTTTTGTAGTGCTGGGGCTGTCCACCGTAGGACTTATCTTCTCTTTCTTTGAACCCCTGACATAGCCTGAGGGCTGGCCCTCAGTTCTTCCCCAGTGCATACTATCACTGAGAAGAACCCATAGCATCTGGTAAATGAGTTCACAAGCCAAAGTAAAGTGATAACTAAGAGATGCCACTGGTTCAAAAGAAAACAACAAACTGGATTACATAAAACCATCAGAATCTAAAATAAAGCCAATAAACATTGAAAGAAAAAAGGGAAGATTTTAGCAATGTGATACAAGAATAAGAAATAATGAACCAAGTAGTCATATAAAAAGCATAATATTTAAAATAACGAACATAATAAAATGGAGTAAAAGTAGAATGGGTGTAGCTGAAGAATGAATTAGTGAGTTGGAAAATCAGATTGAGCAACTCTCCCAGAAGGAAGCAAAAAAAAAAAGATAAATAGAAAATACAAATGCAGATTTAAGTGAGATGAGGGACAGAAGTAGATGTACCAACATTCAAAAGAGGTCCAGAAGAAGAAAAAATTTAAAGATCGAAAGGGCCATAGAGTACCAAACAAGAAAAAATACTCACATCTAGACACATACTGAAATTTAAGAGTATCAAAGATAATGATAAAAATCTTTTTAGCTTTTAGACAGTAAATCCTTGTATAAAGGAACAGAATCAGGTTGACCTCAGTGTTTTCAAGAGCAATATTGGCTATAAGAAAACAATATTTTTAAAGTACTGGACCTAAAATTTTACATCCATTTAAATTGTTATTCAAATGTGAGAGTTTAATAAAGTTCCACATTGTAAACATTTTTGGAGAAAATACTCAACAAAAAACAAGTCTTTTATTTCAAGAGCTAGGATATAAGTGTGGTCAGATATGTTGGTAAAGCGTGTATAGGGGGAGAAAGGTAAAAAAGGAACTATATCCATAATAAGCCAGAATTTTTAGACAATACCAGCATGATGAAGATCAAGGGGACATAAGAATGTGACAGTTTTTGCCTTGTTAGGATGAAGGTATAGATGTAAAAATGTCAAACTTTTAAAATTGAGGTATATCACAAAAGAAATAGCCCAGTAAATTTTCACAAAGTGAACGTGTATAACACCATCCAGGTCAAGATGAGAACTTTGCCAGCCCCCCAGAGAGCCCCCCACTCTGTTCCTAGTTATAATCTTTCCTCCTCCTAGAAATAGACACGATTGCTGACATTACCGTAGGTTGGTTTTGCCTGTTTTTGAACTTTCAAATGAAATCATACATCATATGTACTCTTATTTTTCTTTTGCTCAGCATTATGGTTGTGCGATTCATCCATTTAGGTTGTTTCCAGTTTGGGGTTATTTAAATGAGTGCTGATCAGAGCATCGTGGAAATGTTTTTTGCTGCACATATGGACACATTTTTGTTGGTTATGCACCTAGGAGTGGTATACATATGTGAAGCTTTAGTAAATACTGCCAAACAGTTTTGCTAAGTGCTTTTATCAATTTACACTCCCACCAGTAGTATATGTGAGTTTCTTCATATGCTCTCTAACACTTAGTATTGTCAGTCTTAATCTTAGCCATTCTGGTGGAGGTGTAGCGATATCTCCTGAATGTATGTTGGCCATTTGAATATCCCTTTTTTGTAAAGTCCCTGTTCAAGTCTCTGACTTACTTTTCTTACTAATTTGTAGAAATTATTTATATAATCTGGATATGAGCCCTTTGTTAATTCTATATGCAAGAATACCTTCTCCCACTTTGCAATTTGCCTTTTCACTGTGTTACATGTATCTTTTGATGAACAGACATTCTTAATTTTTTTTTTCTTTTTTTGCTGAGGAAGATTTGCCTGAGCTAACATATGTTGCCAATCTTCCTCTTTTTTGTATGTGAGCTGCTGCCACAGCATGGCAGCAGATGAGTGGTGTAGGTCTGTGCCCAGGAACTGAACCTGGGCTGCCAAAGCAGAGTGTGCTGAACTTAACCGCTAGGCTGCTGGGGTTGGCCCCAGACATTCTTAATTTTTTTTTTTTTTTTTAAAGATTTTATTTATTCATTTTTTTCCCCCCAAAGCCCCAGCATTCTTTTCATTTATGGTAGTACCTGTTGAAGATACCTTTCCCAACTCCAAGAAGATGAAGATATTTTCTTACCTTATTGTCTAAAAGTTTTGTTGTTTTACCTCACATTTACATCTACAATTCACTAGGAATTGATTTTTTTGGTAGGGTTTGAGGTAGGGGGTAATTTTAATTTCAATTTTTTAAAAACATCCGATTGACCAAGTCCCCTTTCTGGTAAAGACTGTCCATACCCCACTGCTCTTCAATGCCACCCAGGCAACAGATCAGGTGCCCATACATGCATGGGTTTCTTTCTGGAATCTCTGTTCTGTTCATTGATCTGTTTGTCTAATCTTTTTTTTTTTTTTTAATTTTTTTTAGATTTTATTTATTTTTATTTTTTCCCCCCAAAGCCCCAGTAGATAGTTGTATGTCATAGCTGCACATCCTTCTAGTTGCTGTATGTGGGACTCGGCCTCAGGATGGACGGAGAAGTGGTGCCTCGATGCGCACCCGGGATCCGAACCCGGGCCACCAGCATTGCAGCGCGCACACTTAACCACCAAGCCACAGGGCCGGCCCTGTTTGTCTAATCTTGCACCCATATTATCACTCTCTTAATTACTGTAGCTTTGACTAAGTCTTGACATCGAGTAGAGAAGTCCTGTCATGTTTTTTCTTTCTTCACCACTGTTCATGGGTATATTTGGCCTTTTACATTTCCACATACATTTTAGAATCAGCTTGTCAAGTTCCACAGAAAACCTATTGGGGTTTTTGACTGAGCTCACGTTGAACCTATGGGACAATTAATTTGGGGAGAATTGACATCTATACAATGTTGAATTTTCCAGTCCCTCAGTATGATATGTCCCATCATTTGTCTATTAATTTATTTAAATAATGTGTATGTGCATGTGTGTGTGTGTCCTGCATATTTTTCATTAGATTTATCTTTGATAGTTTTTGATCCTGTAGTGAATGATTTCATTTTCTGTTCAGTATACAGAAATACACTTGACTTTAGATCTAGAAACTTGCTGAGCTATCATATATGTGCTAAAAAAGTGTAGATTCTTTTGAATTTTCTGTACAAAATCATAGTTTTATTTCTTCCTTTGTAATCTTTAAACTTTTTTTTTACATTTTTTTGTACTGGCTAAGATCTCCAATATAATAATGGTTAGAATTGATAATAGTGAACATTCTTATTCCTGATCTCATAGGGAAAGCTTTTAGTATTTTATCATTATGCTGTTTCCTGTAAATCTTTTTTAAATGAGTACTCTTTATCAGATTAAGGAATTTTGCTTCTATTCCTGGTTTCCTAAGAGGTTTTTAAAAAAATCATTAATGGATGTTTATTTTTGTTAAAATTTTCTCCCTTTATTTTGTAAATGTAGTGAATTACGTTGATTGTTTGTTTTGAGTTGTATGAGTTCCTTATATATTTTTGATATTAACCCCTTATTGGATATAGCATTTGCAAATACGTTCTCCCAAATATATTCTCTCAGTAGGTCGCCTTTTCGTTTTGTTGATGTTTTCTTTTGCTATGGGAAAGTGTTTTAGTTTGATGTAGTCCTGTTTGTTTATTTTTTATTTTGTTTCCCTGGACTGAGGGGATATATCTAAAAAAATATTGCTAAGACTGATATCAAAGAGTTTATTACCGGGGCCAGCCCCATGGCATAGCGGTTAAGTACGTGCGCTCCACTGCTGGCGGGCCGGGGTCAGATCCCGGGTGCGCACTGATGCACCGCTTGTCAGGCTATGCTGTGATGGCGTCCCACATAAAGTGGAGGAAGATCGATATGGATGTTAGCTCAGGGCCAGTCTTCCTCAGCAAAAAAAAAGAGGAGGATTGGCATGGATGTTAGCTCAGGGCCGATCTTCCTCACACACAAAAAAGAGTTTATTGCCTGTGTTTTCTTTTAGGAGTTTTACATTGACTTTTTTTTAGTACTAAACCTTGTTGTCTCAGAATAAAGTTAATTTGAATTTGATGTCTTATATCCTCTTTATATAATGTTAGATTTGGTGTAATAATGTTTTGTTAAGGATATTCTTCATCTCTTTTTTTGTGAGTGAGATTGACCTAAAAATTTTCTTTCTTAATAATGTCTTGTCAGGTTTTGGTGACCAGGTTTTTATGCTGGCTTCATAAAATGCATTGGAAAGTGTTCACCCTTTTTCTATTCTCTGTAAGAGGTACATGATGAGATCGTGAAAGACACATAAGCCCACTGCTGAATTTTTTTGCTGTGAAATGAGTTTCTTGAACAGAAAATTTGTGGAATGTTGTAATCGTGAATAGATATTCCATAAGACCATTCTCGGGGAATATATCTCTCCCAGTGAGAACAAATTGCCCCCTATGCCCTTCCATGGATAGAGTCAGTCTGATATGGTAAACCTGCTACTAAGTAGTTGGCTAGTCCATATTTGGACT